CCACGGTCACTGGTTGGGACGGGTTTAATTAGTAAAATCTATTTTTAGAAGCGGCACGGAATAACTATTAAATCAATAAATCAATATTTGTTACATATACGAAAATAAACTTTACAAACTAATATAATAATGATAATGATAAATAAACTAAACCTAAAAACAAAGATGGTCCCGAAACCGAAATATTTCGGATTTGCGGAAATTGATTTCACTTGATGATCGGAGTGTTGATCATTTTGACATCAATTTTTGTGAAACGGCTATCGCTAAAATATTCGGCCGGAATTATGATTTTCGGCTGGAATTACGGATTCGTCTGGAATTATGAATTCGGCTAAAATTATGAAAACAGCTGTAATAAATTTTAAGATTTTTCGTTTCGGTATTTTGAATTTCAGGATTATGAAGTGTCGGGCTTATGAAATGTCGGGATTATGGCATTTCGAGATTTAGAGTTCGGGATAATGTACTGTCGGGTTTTCGAGTTTCGGGATTTCGTACCAAACCCGTTAGAATTGAGGTTTATTCTGCGCAGATGTATCATTAAAATTGATATTTAACGAGGCATTAACAGCTTCTTTGGAGATCCAAGACTCTTCTTCTATAATTTGAAAATAATAGAAGAAGCGGTTATATGCTCTGAGGGGAAATCAGCGAGAAAGTCATGGACCTTTTGGTATAATTCAGTAGACATATTTTATAAAAAACTTGGTGTTAGAAAATCGTGACTTTTACGTCAAAGTTGTCAAAGTTTTGTGTTCGGCATGTGGAATATGCATTGGAGATCTGGAGATCTTGACATTTATAAGGACAATGCATACGGACTTTTTTTATTTCACTCGTACTTCTCGATTGTCCAACTTTCCCATATATTCGAAGCCGGAAAAAATTTGGGAAGTTTCAATGACGGCCCATCGCCCAAAAATAGTCGTAGCTCCGAAGTAAATGCACATTTCAATAGGCGCTATTCTGCTAAAGAGAAAAAAATTGAAATATTTTTATGCGAGATTAATCTCAGATTTGCTCTTTTTCTTCTTTCGAGGACAATTGCAAGAATTGTATCCTGTCTTACTACAGGTAGAACATTTGTGTTGCGTCTTTTATGGCTTTTTTTATGGCTTTATTGACATGCACCCTTAACTGCTTTTTTGTAAGCTTATTATTTACGCATTTGAGCCACAGATGATTTGCGGTTCATCATTTTTATATCATAGAAATATGCTTATTTGCAAAGATTTTCTGAGACACAGTCACACAGATATCTTCTTGGTAATTCTCAAACTGAATGCATTATGATTAAATTTTATTTATTAGCATTTTATATTACAAAGCTAAGGCTAGTACTCTTGAAGGAAGAAATTAGAAAATTAAGTAGTGAGAAGTAAATAGTAAGTTAAGATAAGAGGTGAGAAGGTTTAACTAGTTTAAAACTTGAAATAGAACAAGCTAATCGAGAATTCTGGTTTTTTTTGTTTGCCAACTAATAATAGTAATTGATGTGAGTAATTTGCAAATGAAAATATAAGCAGATACCGTAATTTTTATAAATTACTAAAAATAACTTTGCATATATGGTATGATAAAAAGATAGTTGGGATCAAAAAAAAAAGAAACTGGGTCTTCTTTTTAAATAACAATCGCAACAATTGTAATCCACTTGAAAAGTATTCCGTAATTGCCTCTTTTTTCATAATCAAATTGTAAAGAAACACTTTCGTAATCGTTGGTGTGGGTTATGCTGAGATTGAGGATTCCAAGTATTCCATTCCTAGAACGTTGACATCCATGAAGTGCGAATTGGTGGAAAAAGGAAAGTGAACGACAGTAAGTTTATTGTTTATTAATATCTGATAAGTTGATGTGCTAGGGAATGATGTAAGTTTTATATAGGAAATTCCGTATCTAATATAAAATGTACATTTTTACCGGCAATGAAACAACGACTCTTAGATTCGAGCCGAATATCATGCCATTAATCTCTTTTAATTCTGTTTGTCGAGACTCAGATAAATATTTTTAATTACAAAAATTCTTTAATAATAACCGTTTACGTACTATAATAGTGATGGCATTTTCTATCAATACTCGCTTGTTATAGGAAACTTCTTAAAACTTTCTGATGTTAATTAAGGTACATGAGGAGGCTTTGTATAGCAATATAAAACAAGTCCACATTTATGTTTTTCTTATTATTTGAAATCAGATAGCAAAGATGAATCAGGCTGGTAATTGCTCTCATTCCTATACCTTCTTTATTATTTAGTCCTTCTCTTGGCCCAAGTTAACTACAGATCTTTTTTTATTTGCTAGCATGTCATGTTCCACAGCGGAAAAAATATTTATTTGTTAGTCTGCCAACTTAAGGTTACACAAACATCAATGAATGATTAATTCGGTAAAATGGACGATCAATGAGTCTATTGAATTTGGAATTCTACTAAGCTTTAGGAATTTTTTGATATTTATTTAGGACTAAAGACAAAAATAAAAAGCTTTAAAACAAAAAATTATGCTGTTATATTGTTTATCAGATAGTAAATAAATTAGTAAATGGCGCTAAAGCTGCAATTGGATTATTTTTTTTGTGAATCACATATTTTATGTTACAAAACATTATATAATTATTACTTTATTAAAATATGCTCTAAATAAAAATAGTATGTGCAAAATGATATTATTTAATTTAAATTTTTAATCTATTTAGTAATCTATTTAATTAATCTATTTAATAATCCTAATCAATCCTAATTGTACTCCACCTTTCTGGCAAATTCTATTTTTTAAAAAATTTTTAATTAGTAAATAATAAAATTAATTAAAATTAAAAAAGTAAGAAATAAAAAATAAAATTTCGTAATATACAAAAATTACAAATCATGACACAATGAGCTCTCTCACATGAGATATATACGTAATATTTCCTGAATATCTCACGCGTGAAGAACTTTTCACGTTTGACCTTTATTCGCACTTCTTTAATAACACAACGGTAACTATGTAAATAATCTGTAATTTTTCATAATTATTTACGCGAAAATAACTTGTACAGTATATAAATTACCTCTGCTTATTTAGTTTGGGAAAAAAAAGTGAATAGTACGAAAAAAATATTATTATTTAGTCTGAGAAAGAATAAAGAATAATAAAAGTTCACGTACACAGGATGAGAAATTTATTTTACTTGTATTTACATATAACCATCTTTGATAAATAAAAAATTTTAAATCTAAAAAAAAATAATAATGCCCGCAAAACTTGCAACTTTTTGTTATGTTCACGACTCTAAGAACTGATGGTGATTATCCAGCTAAGGTTATCTATTTAAAAATCAAGATGTTTATACCTTCAGATCAGAATATTAAAACGAAAATTGAAGATTTTGAAGTCAGTCAGGTAATCTTCTTAAAGGGGAAGCTGTGATGGTACACCGTATGTAATCCTCATTTTCTAAAAAAAAAGCTATTTTTTTTGTATCTGGTACTATTTATTATTATATTTTATTTATATTTTTTGTATGTAAACTAAGAGATTCTTTTTTCACTACTTCAATTAAGTTAATGCCAAGCCAAGATTTTAACATTATGCCCTCCGTCGACATAAATGTAATGGTGGTAGGATTAACCACCAGAACGGTCACAAACATCAATGGTCAATCAACCCTAAATTTCTACATCGAAGGTGACCGAGAACTAAATAAATTTTGGATTGAGGCAAAGCATAATGCATGGTGATATGACTTTCTACCAACTTTTAGAAGAGGTATGAATAAATAATATCTTTCCACAAACACATTCCTCAATACCACCCATATCGACAGATTTAAAGAAACTGCCCAACAAATCAACACTCCTATCTGTAACTTACTCCCTGTTCCTCCAAACAATTTCTTACTATTACAAGTGTCCGATTTGTAAATTTTGACCAATGGAACCCTCACATTTACACCACATGCTCAAACCAAAACAAATTTGTTCGTTTGCAACCAAGAGCTCACGTGATGTACGGGCATATACCTAAATAATTCCTTGATCAAGTACGGTATATTCGTATATATAACAGTACCATAGGAATAGTTACCAACGTAACCTACCTGAACTGTGTATCTGAGTTGCATTTTCTGTTAGAGGATCAATAATAAACGTTGATGTTTACAAACATACTCATTATTTCAATGTTAACGGAAATAAAGCTCGATGCATCCAGTTCCCATCGCAAAATTGCTTCACGCTCACTGTCCACAAGACCCAAGGATTGACCCTACTGAAAGTCACACTCGCATTAGACGGTACATCTTCTCTTCTGGTCAAGCATACGTGTCATCATATTTCACAGATCAGCATTTATGGTCGATCCTAATGTCATTCAGACTTACCACTCCCATATGTTCTCTCTCATAAACAATTAACAAAAAACTGTCTCTGTTTCTACCTTTTATTTAACTTACAAATAAATTCATTAAAATACTTTATTTGCATGAATTTTACATGAAAAATGTCATTATATTTTTATGCGCAATAAATAAAAAAATAAATAAAATAAAAAAATCAATTGATCACGTCACCAACCTGTACAACTCAACTACCCCAGAAAATTCTTCGAACTCGGCCGGCGTTATGCACTGACACGTGATCGAAGAATTTAGGATGTGATGAATAAAACGTGACAAATAGAATTTCATCTACTTGAAAAAATCTAAGTCCCTCGGATAAATATAAACAGTGAAACTCGGACAGGGTGTGACGATGTGATAAATAAAAACAGATCACGTGATCGAAGAATTTTTCTGGGTGCTGTTGGGTTATATTGTACAACTCAACTGGGTATTCGCCATAAAATTACTGGCTAGTTTCACAATTAATTCTTCTGGGTCAGTTTTACTATTCTAGCAATATGCAGATTTTTGTAACACCTAATGATTCGGTTAAATAGTAGATAATATTGATAGACTTTTAAGTAAATAGATTTTTTTTTAAAAAAAAGTTGAGATTTATATTTCTGAATTAGTACTTCATATATCAAATTAAAAAAAATAATTTAATAGTATTATGATTTTGGTTTTTTGATCGAGATCTTTAGAATACTATTTTATTAAAGATACTTTTATAATAATTATTAATCAAAATTCAATAAATTAAATTATTATTTATCCCTTGATGAATGTAATTTTTCTAACAGCCTTTTAGTGTATCCGTAGACAAAAAATGTTACAGCACTTACAGGAGCAGATTTAATTAAAGCTGGCATAAGGCCCTTATATAAACCGAAAATTCCATCACTTCTTAATATTTGTTTTATGCATATAAATATTGAACTCGAATATAATGGTACATTTGATATAAAATAATCTTTTCTATTTGGGCCTTGCACTTGTAATCTTTTCCTTACTAAATCGAGTGGAAATACGCCGGCTTTACTCACTATTCCTGCAATTGCTCCGCTTAATAAATCCTCTGTAGCTCTTAAATTATGAAACCAAATATGCTTATCCTGATATTATAAAATAATATTAGAATTAGAATAATAGAATAAAAATGAAGTATTTCATTACCTCTAACTTCCTGAATAATTTTTTTAAGAATTCATAACTTCCAAACACTAATCCCATGTAAGGAATGATTTGTACAACAGACGCAGTAACTCCTCGATAGAACCCGCGATATCCTTCTTGCACATAAATTTGCTGTACTGCATTCCTTAATCCTATATAAATCTACACATTAATTTTTTTTAAATTAATAATTTTGTCTATGGATTTATTCTCTCTTAAAGTAAAGATTAATAATCACCCTCTTTTCACCTTGCGCAGCAAAACGTGTCCTCAATAAATCAAAAGGATATGTAACAATAGTTGCAGTACTTCCACTTATGGCTCCACTCAAAAATGGTTGTAATGTTTTATTAATACCAAATTTCTCATTTTGATTTGAATCAATGCGTTTGAAAAGATTTTGCATCTGATGATAAGTTAAAAATTGAACAGCGCCGTATGATAGATATAAATATTCTGCGGAAAGATTACCATTCCATAATCCCTATAAATATCAAATAATCAGAATTAATAAAATTTCATTTAGAGAAATAATTCTTCATTTTTAAAGATTTACTCGAATGCCTTCTTCTCGAATAATTAATTTAATTGCATGTGACATCCCGTTGTATTTTTTTAGTGTGCCAGAATTATGATGTCTCGACGATAGAGGATTGATTGGTCTTCCCGGTTGAAGCTAATAATTTTTAAAAATTATATTAAGAATGGAAAACTTATGATAAAAGAAAAGTAATAAATAATATTTACTTGTAATCGAATTTTAACAACGTCTAATGGAGAAGCAACGAATCTATCAACATTATAAAAATTAAATAATGCTAGAATGATGAATCAAATTAAACGGTGTCAATTATAACAGACCTTGAAACCATTCCCGCAACTGCTCCACAAATACCAATTTCTATCGAAGAAAGTTGTGAAGCAGCAACAGCCTGTTCGGCTATCGGCGACTGATTTTGAGGTTTATGTTCATAACCTGTTAATAATTTGGCCATAACCCAAAATTATTTAATAAAGAAACGAATATATTTTTGAAAAAAAGGTTATAAAATACCTTGGCTCATATGTACGGAGGGAGAAATTTTTTCATCTACGTTTTGATGTACATTACAGAGACAATTTAAGACCACGTGTAAGAATGATCTGTACATGATCAGCAAAAATGAAAAATAGCGTATAAACTTCTATTTATTGGATTTTTTAGTTTTCAAGTATAGCAAGAAACTTAATGATAAATGAAAAGAATGATATACTGTATAAAGGGCGGAAGTCTATATAATATATTCGATCACTAGTGGTGATTAAAAAGATTTTATTTGTAGAACTAAATAATATTAAATAAATTAAAAATAATAATTATATGCGAATTCTAATTTACTACCTTTAACTCATAAAAATTAAACAATTTATATGACATTATAAATCTATTATCTCGATCTCTTAATTCAATTTTCACTCATTTAACCATTTAGATAATTTAATAATTTGTTCTTTTACAGTTTGTTTACTAGTACCACCTAGACTACATCTATTTTCAATACTTTTTTCATAATCCCAAATTAATTTGACATCATCTTCAAAGGCTTGATGAAGTTGTTTAAAATCTTCTAAAGTTAAGTTGGACATTGATGTATTACGATCCTCTGCTAAACGGACTGCAGCCCCTGCAATATGATGAGTTTCACGGAATGGGACCTTAGAATAATAAATAAGAGAATGAGAATGATAATCAGTGAAGGATGCTGCTTCTTATTTTAAAATGAGTTGAAGATAAATAATAAATCGTGATAATTACTCCTTTGCGAACCAAATATTCAGCCAAGTCCGTAGCCAACATATCAGTACTTAGACTTTGTTTCATCCTTTCAGGATAAATCTAAAAATAAAAAAAAAAAGGTATTGAGACTTAATTCCAATAAATATAAAACTTTGGGATTTTTACTTACAGTAAGAGTTGATAAGACACCAGTGGTAATTTGTAAAGAACCAGACAGTGTATCCGTAGCATCAAAAATTGGCTCTTTATCCTCTTGTAAATCCTTATTATAAGTGCTTGGAAGTCCCTTATATGTCATTAGAAATCCTGACAGCTATGGTAAGAAATTAGTTTATATAAGTGTCAAGAAATATTATTAGTTTAGGTCACGTTGGTCATGTTAAATGAAATGTTTTAAAATAATACTACTCTTATGTGATATGTTACCTGACCAAAAACACGACCAGATTTACCACGTAATAATTCAAGACTATCGGGATTTTTTTTTTGAGGCATTAAACTACTACCGGTACTATAAGCATCGGCTAAAGTAACAAAACCGAATTCACTTGTAGAATATAAAATTAGATCTTCGGAAAATCTACTAATATGTATCATAGTCAAAGAAGACCAAAATAATATTTCGGCAACAAAATCTCTATCACTAACTCCAAGCAAACTATTGTGAATAACGCCTTTGAAGCCTAGTTCTTTTGCCAAAAATTCTCTGTCAATGTTAAAAGGATTTCCTGCCAATGCTCCACTACCTAATGGAAGTACGTTTAATCTGTCAATTATTTGAGTTAAGCGTTCCGCATCTTCTTTCCAATTCCATGCATATGCCAATAACCAATGACTCCATCTAATTGGTTGTGCTCTCTGTTTTATTTAAAGAAAAAAAAGAAAAGGAATGAACTTACAAAATTACCTCTTTTAAGGGTATATAATACAAAAATCGTACCTGGAGATGTGTGTAACCAGGCATGATCACATCGATTTCTTTTTCGGCTCGTTCAACAGCTGCGGCAATTAATTGTTTTAGATAAACAAGTAATTTCTTTGTTTCTTCTCTTGCCCATATTCTGAAATCAGTTGCAACTTGATCATTTCTACTTCTTCCCGTATGTAATTTTCCGGCTACACTACCAACTAATTCACCTAGTCTTCTTTCATTAGCGGTATGAATATCTTCATCGCCTTCTTTAATAATAAAGGTGCCCTCCCTCCATTCTTTAAGTACATCTTCAAGTCCATTAACTAAAATATCTTTTTCTTCAGTGGTAATAATATTACGGAGAGATAGTGCTTTTGCATATGCTTGAGAACCTAATAAATCTGCTTCATATAATCTTTTATCAAAATTTATTGATGCGTTAAATTTATCCATCAATGGATCAGTTTTTCCACTGAAACGACCGCCCCATAACTTTGCCGATGTCATATTTAATTTTGGTAATATTAAGAAAAAGTTATTATTTTTTTTTTTCGCCGAACATTTCGAATCAGGATTTTACAACTATTTATAACTTACTGTATTGATCTGATCTCAATTTCCTAAGATGAGATGTTTAATATAAGATTGATGATATTACATAAATAAAATCTGGATTGACGGATTTTACCGAATGCGGGTAGTACGATATTTAACGGCAATATAACAAATATGGATCTTTAGGGAATCGTTTAGTTCAAAATATTAAATTGGCTCTTTATTTTAATATATCAATAATTTTAATTTAATAGACTAAAAATATATATATAAAAAAAAAAGAAAAGAAAAGAAAAGACAAAATATAATATTCTTGTGTTTTAACTGTAAATAAATATTCATGTATTTTAACTAAGAAATATAATGTACAATTTAAAGAAATTTAACCAAAACAAATTCAATGTAAAAAACTATTACCAAATATATATAAATGTTATATATTTGTTAAAATATTTGTGCCAATATTACAAATTGGAATAGCTCTAGACAAAAGTAAAAGCAAATGTTACTAAAAATGATAATTTTCAAAAATTTCGTTAAGTAACAAATGCAAAAAAGTTAAGAATACCATTAATGCCTATAGTGATTAATATGTTTGTTCTGCATAAATATTTTTTGTTTCAATATATCCATATCGTCATCATTTTCGTCAATAAAAGGATATTGATTATAACTAATATAATCAGGATTACGATTTTTGTATTGTGTAGATATGTTTTTCCCCAATTTACTCATTTCATCATCATTATTGTTGTCCAATAGATGTCGATTATATTTAGTATAATCAAGATTACCATTATTAAACATTTCCTGTTTTGATCTAATATCATCTTCTGGTTGAATAGCTTTTTGATGATATTTTGATGCTCCAATGGGCCCACTTTGTTTGTGATAATCTCGAATCGTATTAGCTTTATTATTATTTCTAATTGCAATTTCACATAAAAATTCATATATTATCCAAGGAAATGATATCATATTTTCAGAAGGATCATCACCTAATTCAGATGGATGATAGGTCACATAGTACCAAGCACATGCTTTAGCTTCCATTCTGTTACGAGCTCCTGGCGAAACAACTCTCGTTCCTTCACCATAAAACTCTCCTTCAAATAATTTCCGATAATGTCGTTTAATAGGAATTACTGCGTCCATTATAGATTTAGTTATGTTATGAGGCTTTTTTCTATCGACATTTGTAATAGTATTAACTATGTATCCACTTGTAACCTCAAATTCGGTTGCGATACCAAACTGATTCATCAATCCTCTTATGTCTGCATCGTATGCACTTTTAAGTATTCGTGCATCCTCTAAATAAGCTTGATATCCTTCAACATATAATCTATTATCAAACTCAAAATTATCGCAAAGTACAAACTCATCAACCTCAATAGAACGGTACAAACGACCGAGAACTTTTTCTGATTGGTAGGTAGCTTTGTCTGTTATTTCCATAAAGTCTGGAAACTTATGAGCTCGAAGTTCTGGTGGAAATATTGCCGGCCTCCCGGTTTTGGGGTAATCTACGGCCTCAGAATGCAATTGCGCAAGACGTATACATTGCCCGTGGAATGCGCCAACATCTGAAGTATCTGCCTTTGCCATATGAGCGTTGGCAATCATGTCAATCTCATCGGATAACATATAATTAACAAAGAACTTCTTAACATGGTCCATCGTTACGTTCTCGACCATTTCGGGGTTTTGAGCCTCATAGTTCATAGGCCCCAAATTCTTTTTTTGGGGGATTAACCGTTCATCATAAATTATACTACGAAAAAAAAAAAATTTATAAATTTAAAAATTTTTTTTCCAAACAATAAATTTATTAAAATTAAATACATACGTAAAATTGTCTCCATCTAAATCACCACCACTACATTGGCTAGGAATATCTCGATAACCAATTGCTGGGAATACTATTACATCTACCAGATGATCCAATTTCTTACAGTTTACGGCTGTTACAACTCGTATGTCGCCAGGATGAAAACAAGGATTACGGTATACAATACATGTTCCGGTAATTACTCTTCTATTAGATGGATTATATTGATCAGAGACACAACAATAAACTTGGTCCTCCCTTAATGTTTCTGTTTCATCCAAAACACCTAACAAAAATGCACCTTCATCCACACGAATTTTCGCCTTTTTCTTTAAATCTCTTAACATCATTATACGAAACAACGATAATAAATTCATTAGATATTTATCACGTTTTTGTAAAAATCCGACTTTTACAAGATCTGCTAGAGACTTGGAAATACCGTGTTCATCAATATTTTGATGTAAAACATTTATAGCCGTGGTTTCATTCATAAAAATTCTATTCAAATCACTAACTTGTGCATCTTTCATTTCGATGAATACACTATCAGGTACTCCTAATGAAGATAATAACGTAATAGCATGGTGATTAAGATATGCAGGAATAAAAGTTGATCCTCTAATAAATTCTAACTCTAAATGTTTCGATTCAAATTTGCATTGACTATGGCGCACTTGAATCTGATTATCTCGCAAAAAACGTGATTGACACAATATCCCTTTATAACCAGCAAGTCTAAATTGGAAAGCACTGGGAATATTTTTTAACTCTAATTTCTCGGCTGCTTTCTTTGCCAATGAAACCGATATGTTCCCTATCCCATCAGAAAATGTATACCGATTTCTAACAACATCGGGAATCACTATCACTCTAATGTCATTATTCACTGGCAGGACGACGCGGGTACTTGAAAGACATTGTCCCATACGAACAGCGTATTTAGCAACACTTTTATTGATAGAGAAATCACCCATCCAACTTCTAATATCACCTGCAGTTAAATCGTAAGTTGATGCAAAAAACCAACAAGAATGTTCCTTCAATTGGCTAGATGAAAAGGTCAAGAACTCGTATTGTCTATCACCGATCTTGATGCCATTATGTAGGGTATTATAAATTTTGTTATACAAGGCATAATTATGAGTTCCATTAGAGGAACAAATTTTACTGGATGCCTCATCTATGAATTGAACACGCAAGAAATTATCTTTCTTATCGCGAAAATGGCGAATAACACGATTAGATGTTTCCATCGTCGGCATCAATATGTACATAGTGGTAGGAGTAATAACTACTTTGCGTATCATTACACAATCGGATGGTACATGATTAGACTTCTCTTCGACGTCAAGTTTCATGACTTCTAAACGTAAATACGATAATGGATCATAAATACGTTTTTTTCCTGCAAAAATTGTCTCTAATATATAAATTGCAGACTGAGTTGGCAGTCGGGCCAATGAAAAAAAGAAATCTTCATTAAGGTTATAATCGTGAAGGTAATTAAAAGAAATATTACATTCGGTCATATAAAGAACATCAAAATCTAACATTGAACGTTCCACATATTTACGTAAATTGGTCCCACAAATTATGTTTAATGATCTATAATTAATGTTTGAAAACTTCACTAAATTAAATTCCCCTGCTTCCTCAATCATTTTTTTAAACCGATGAAGACCTTCTGCAGATGTACTTCCCAGTCGATCTAGGTCAAAAGTTATTCTATAAACAACCCATTTACCGAGTTGTTCACTATTGTCTGGCATATGCGGTTGAAGAGGGATTTCTTTTTCCTCTTTTCTTTTTGGTAATATACGAATTTCGGTTTTACGTTTCCATGAATCATCTAAACACCAATTAAACTTGTCTTTAGGTTGCAATCTACTATCTAGTACCCAATATTTGGCTGGATACTTATTCGCTATAGTAATTGACCCACGTGATCTTTGTGGAGCGTCAAGTTCAACATGAATTTCATCTTCTATATTCTTAAAATCAATTTCCAACTTAAACATATGAATTTGTTGAGCTGACTGATCTGACCTGAAACCAAATTCAACACTGATGCTGCGTTTTTGATAATCTATGGTAAATTTTACCGAGTCGGTATATTTAATCTCGGAGACAAAAGTGTCCGGTTGTAGATAAACACCCATTTCAAGGCTTTCTGCTTGAAACGAATGAAACTTTAATCTCTGTCTCGCATCTGTTTGATCAATAAACATGTCTAAACTATTATCGTCTTTCTGCTGATAATCCACTTTCAAATGTTTCCCATGAAAGCTTACTGTACTCTTCCAAAATGGATATTTAGGAACAGGCCTATTAAAAATAGTAATTTAACACAACGACAATTCATTAAAAATTTAAATAACAAATTAAATGATATAAAGTTATTATACAAACTTGAAAGTAATATAAACAACGCCGGTTGGACGTTCACCACTTTCAAAATCCTTTGTCTCAATTTGCACTCTGTAAACACTTCCATAAGACTCAAAATGTTCTTTTAATTCAAGTACTTCAGCCTTAGGATGAACGTTACTAACTTTGAATGTCATATCAGCAAAACTTTTCCATTCCCGAGGAGGCCAATTTTTTCGTACGAAAAAACCACCGTTGTCATAATCATCACCACCACCACCACCACCACCACCACTATTATTGCCATTATAACGTCCATTAACACCATTACCACCATTCGGGGAAATTATTGACCGTCGGCCATAATATCCATTGCTCATTGTTCTGTCGCTTGTATAACCTTTATTTATTAGATGAATGGCGAGTGTAATATTTATGTTTTGAGGGTTTCAGTAGTAGGAATATAGGTGAGAATTCAATGAAGCTCACTAGGTAATTGTTGTCTATTGTAAAAGGAAAGTAAATAAATAAATAAAATACGGTAATTTACACGTATCACGTGATTTATCTCTTAATCGAAATATTGTCGATCATGCTTCTTTCACGGCGTATTAATTTGATATCATGCATAAATCACAAGGATTTATCGAACTGAAAAAATGAAAAAGTCAATCTATATTTGGGCGTTGACTGTTTGTTTATATAATTTAATTTCGCTTCGAATTGTTCATATGCAAATATCTCTTTTTACGTGTAGAGCATCTTGATATAGACTGTATCCGTTTTTCAAGTACAATTTGATTGTCTGATCATTACTAAATCGTATATTGGAAATCTAACTTAGTAATAAATTCTACAAGAGAAAGTCATTTATGTAGGTGTTCGTTAACATGTATATTATGTAGTTTATTTCATATTTTATTAAAGGAAAATTGATGCTATTTTAAAATTCTTGAATAAATAATGTCTAGATAAAATATAATAACCTAACAATTAAATATATTAATAATTAAATTTTCAGATTTATAAATTATTAATAAAATTCACGCTTCAGTTGTATCAACCACAGCTTTATTTTTCTGTGTAGCCTTTGCTTTTCTGTCACGTTGATAAAATTCTTGCAATACTTTTTGTGGTATACGATTCAACATTTCTTTCGGGAATATACGAAGAATTGACCAAGCATGATCTAGAGATTCGTAGATTGTTCTCGATTCGTATGCACCTGTAAAAAAAAGAAAAATTAATATGGTTTACCAAAGAAAAAAAAAATAATCAATCATTCGTTACCTTGAGAAATATACGTCTTCTCAAACTTCTCCAAAAATTCGAGAGAAAGTTTATCTTCTTGATTCAAAGCTTCTTCACCTACTACAGCTTTCATGGCCGCAGCATCACGACCAATAGCATATTTAGCATACTAACAGATATAATTTTTAATTTATATTAAAATATTTCCTTAATATAACTGAAAGATATAAATTTCGTTAAAATCAATTACCAACTGATTCGAGACATCGCCGTGATCTTTCCTTGTCATTCCTTCACCAATAGCGGATTTCATCAGTCGAGAGAGAGAAGGTAAGACATTAATAGGCGGATAGATTTGACGATTATGTAATTGACGGTCAACGAAAATTTGACCCTCTGTAATATAACCTGTCAAATCTGGAATGGGATGAGTAATATCTATAATAATTTAAAAAGAATATAATAGATTAGAATATAAATTCATAGAATAACTCGAGGATAAATATAGATTATAATAATTACCATCGTTTGGCATAGTCAAGATGGGAATCTGCGTAATACTACCATTCCTTCCTTCGACACGTCCCGCACGTTCATAAATTGTAGATAAATCGGTATACATATAACCCGGATAACCACGACGACCTGGTACTTCTTCACGTGCAGCAGAAACCTAAGGTAATCAAAAAAAAAAATTAATAAACATCCCGAACTTTTTCATGAAAAAGTAGATTCTTCACAATGATAAGATATAACCCAAAATATTTACCTCACGTAACGCATCAGCATATGAACTCATATCAGTCAAGATGACTAAGACGTGTTTTTCAAGTTGGTAAGCATAGTATTCGGCAGTAGTAAGAGCCAACCGTGGTGTAACAATACGTTCGATACTAAGAGTTCGTTATTTAAATATATGTTAATAATAAAATTTTCTTATTTGACTATAACAAACAAGGTACATACGTTGGATCATTAGCCAAATTTAAAAATAAAGTGACCCTTTCAATGGAACCATTTTCTTCAAAATCTTGTTTAAAGAAACGTGCAGTTTCCATATTGACACCCATAGCCGCAAATACGATCGAAAAATTATCTTCATGATCATCATATATTCCCTTGTCGGCGATTTTTTTAACAAGGCCAGCTTGACGACAAATTTGAGCGGCAATCTAAATTATAAGGAAGCCACTAGTTTTATTAAAATAGATCAAATAATTCGAAGGCAGCTTAGATAATAAGAAATTTCAATTCGTTACTTCATTATGTGGTAAACCTGCTGCAGAAAAGATCGGAATTTTTTGACCACGGGCAATTGAATTCATAGTATCTATAGCTGAAATACCGGTTTGAATCATTTCTTCCGGATAAATACGCGAAAATGGATTGATTGGAGATCCTAGAAAAACTCTGAATCAATTTACTGTTCAACCGATAGCACGCATAAGTTAATATTTATTGTTCTTACCATTAATATCTAAAAATTCTTCAGCAAACACCTTTGGGCCTTTGTCAATAGCTTTACCAGATCCATTGAATATACGACCCAACATGTCTTCAGAAACCGGAATCTTAAGAGTATCACCGGTAAACTCTACATGTGTTGCTTTGGCATCAACACCAGATGTCCCTTCAAAAACCTACAAAATGAATTGAAATATTTAACAAATATTAGTTATAAAATCAGGTTATTATACATTTTATAAATAAAATATTCTTAAATAACCTGAACAACAGCCCTCTTTCCCTGAACCTCTAAAACTTGACCAGCACGACGAGAACCATCAGGTAATGTCAAATTTACAATTTCAGCATATTTTGGAAACTTTCATGAACATAAAAGGGTTAGATATAAAAAAAAACAAAATAAATTTTTCTATAATAAAAAAAAAAGTTACTTTAACATTGTCCAAAACTACAAGAGGACCATTTATACTGGCAACCGTTCGATAATCTGAGTATTTTTTAATAATAAAATTATTGAGTGACTACTTTCTTATGATGAGGCTGGTACTAAGACTTCCAGCAAAATAAACAGAAACTTGAATATACGGCCAAAGGCATAATTAACCTTAGTTTTTAAAGAAAAGCAAAGGAGAAATAAAACAAATATTAAGACCAACCTATACGGGGTGTGACTGAATAGTTTCTTGTTACTGCCGCGGCGTTAATTTGAAATGCCTGATTTTCGTCCATTTGTATATTTCTAAGGTAAAATTAAAATATCGAAAGGAGACGAGATAGGCTGAAAGATTTGATGATCTAGTGATCTAATTATATATATTTTGCAAATCAGATTATCAATTGATGAAATGATACGCCTATTACCATCTAATTGATTATAAGATGGAACGATGCTCTTACGAAATATTGTCCAATTACGGAGAAGGTACTTTCGGTGTTGTTTACAAAGCAAGACAGAAGCCATCGGGAGACTTAGTAGCAATAAAGAAAAGTATTGAAGTCAGATATGAAAGACCAGCTCGCGAAAGACTTGAAAATGAGCGTCGTGTTTTGAATAAAGTAAAACACGAAAATGTAAGTAGAAATATCAATTTCTTTATAATCTTTTATTTTATCATATTTAATAGCTTTCTCGACTTGCTAGGTTATATCCCTTATTTATTGTGACGAAACTTCACATTCATTATCGCCGACATTATCTCGTTTTAACGTACAACTTAATATAAATTCTCTAATATTTCCCTTTTGCCCCCTTACGTTAAGAACTTTGCTTGATGAATATATATTGACCTTATCAGAAATTAAATCGTGCATGTGGATGATACTAAATGGAGTTGCATATATACATGATTGTGAAGTAATACATCGGGATATATCACCAAAGAATATTTTAATAAGCGATTTAGGAATAATTAAAATTGGCGACTTTGATGATGCATGGATGGAATCAGATAATGGCGATGAAAAAAGGGGGGAAATGAGATTCGAAGTAGGAACAAGGTTTGTATTTTATTGCATTTTTGTTGTAATTCATTGTTTAATTGAACCTTGTTTCTTTCTATTAAAGAATTTATCGTGCGCCGGAACTCCTTTTTTCTTCGAGAAATTATTCCTATGCAGTTGATTTATGGTCCCTTGGATGTATATTTGCTGAATTTTTTACCAAATATATAGGGTATCCATTGTTTGATGGTGGAAGTGATATTGAACAATTGTGCAAAATATTTCAAATACTTGGTGTTGCAAACGAATCGAATTGGCCAGTAAGTAAATATTAGACCTAAAAGATTGTAGCTTATACTTAACAATTTGAAATACTATAGGAAGTTGTTGAATATTCCGATTATGGAAAATTTAAATTTGCCGAAAGTGATTCAGTGGGATTGACAATTAAACATTTACCTCGCGCAAATCAAAAAATTGTAGATTTTATTGCAGGATTCTTAAGATATCCTACAATGGATAGAATGACTGCACGTAAAGTAAGAAATAATATTTATTGTTCTATAATTTTTTAATATCATTGCTTATTGCTAAGGATTAACAATTTATTTTCCTTAATTTATAAGGCATTACAGGATTCTCTTTTCCAATTAGATGATTTTTCAAGAACTCATATTGATATTTCTTTACAGAAAAAATGAAGTTATCACTGGTTGAATATCTTTGGAATTTTTTATCACTTTAGTTTAATTAATTAATTATCCTTTCATTTGTAAAGCAGGCAAATAGGATTATTGGAAGCATTTTGGCGAAGAACAATAAGGTGCATAAAGGCTAATGCCATTAACACAAAAGGTTATATTTACCTAATTATATAATAAGTGTGTTAAGTATAGAAAAAATTGTCATAATGTTGCACTACGAGCCTAATGTATCAAGTTTGACAGCAAAATTTGACAAAAATGTAATAAGTAAATCATTTGTATCACAAATATCATTGCAGGCAAATTTGCCTGCTAACTCCTAAGCAAAATTTTTAGGCATCCAATAATTATGGAAAGATAAAATAAGCTAAAGTTGCTTGTTGAAATTAGTGGATTTTGTTATGTTGAAATTGTTGAATAATAAAATAATTTTGCCATTTCTCATGTTAAATTGTAAAAATTATTTTTACCATTTCAGCAATAATCTTTTTATTTTGACAAGCAATTTTAAATACAGCTTATTAAAATCATCTTATTATAACAATCCAATAATAGCAATTATATGTCTAAGTGTAATAAATGTCAACAGAGTAGTATTATTTGATAAAAATATATAAAATAATTTGTAGATGAATTATTAAATCAAAAGAAATGTAGTTACTATTATTGGATTTATCTTAATAAAACAAATCTAATAAAGCTATAATCAAGAAAACCATTAATATTTTTAAATAGCTATAACCTCTTTTACTATATATTAAAACCAAAAAATAAAATCCATCATTATTATACATTTTCAATATATTCTTAATAAATATATAAAATACACTACTAACTATCATTAAAAAGGAAATAAAATACTACATTCAATTTTATTATATTTATTTATATGGGTTTACTATGAAATCCTAATAAGCACAATTCCAATATGATAAAATCCCAAGACACATATTTCTGATAGAGATAATATACTGAATGATCAAAATCCCAAAAGTATCATATCCTGGATGGCCTAAACTCCAGAATTTAAATTTCCTAAAAGTTCAAGTTACTGATGAGTCAAAATCCTGATACAATATTATAATTTTGAGTATCTCTTTGATTTTTACTTAATTTAATCATTTATAATTAAAAGATGAAATGCTAAAACTTAATTTTCTATAAATTTTTCATGGATTTTCTATGGATTTAATTATATTAAATAAATTTAATTAATAATAAATAATTAAAAAATTTTAACAAATATTTGATATTATCAAAATTATTAATAACTAATATATTATTTATATAAATTTGAAAAAAAATAAAGATAAATAAAAAAATATATAATTTTTAATTAATAATTTAAATTTTAAATTTTTAATTATTACTAAAATTTTAATTATTTATTAATTTAGAATACAAATATTTAATCAAATTTAAAATTTAATGAAATATATAGTTATTGCAAAAATAATTTAAACAAGTATTATTAACTAAAACTTATTTAAAAAGTAAAAAAATTTAAAATTTAAATAATAAAATTATTTATTTTATAGGCAAATTTTATTTAATTTGCAACTATATTGCAACCTAATAATAGAATGAGAATGTACAAAAGGAATCAAAAAGCAAGATTTAAGGAAAAAGATAGTAACACATCAACATATTGCATATAAATGAATTCCAACTCAACAAATAGAAGGTGATATATATAATCTAAAGAGAAGAAAAATTCTTTAATATAATGAACAATGGTCAATTACTCTTGAAAAAATAAGACAATATATAGATCAGTTTATCAGAGAATAGGATAATTTGAAAGGTATATAATAATATCAAGATGTACAAATACAAATATAATTTTTCTTTTTGTTTAGAGGGTAGTGATTAGTGAAAGCACATACTAAAACTATATGAAATAATGATCCTATATAATCTAATAACTAGGAAGATATAGGTAAATTTTATATTAATGATGATAGGGTACAGAAGTAATTTATAGAATAGGAAACTGGTTTAGAGTTTTAATAGATTAGTTATATACATAACAGATACTTCTGTATTTTTATATAACTAATAAACTCATAAATTGCATATTCACTAGTCGAAATAGTCCAATTCAGCCAGATTTCGTATAGGCAAATTTGGCCTGAATTATGGCTGAAATCTGGTCAAAGTTGGACGAATCTTCTAACCGAAAGTTTATATCGAATGTTATCATTCAGACTGCCACTTATCTAAATTTCGGTTAAGTTTTGATTTACAATTCGCATAAGTTTCAAATAGTATTTTTATACCAAACATTTTGTAATTCATAAAATTGTATTTTGTTTAATACTAACAATTTTATTATATAATATACTATATTTTGCCTATGTGTATATATATATAATACTAACAATAATGTATGTACTATTTTCAGCCTACATAATATACAGCTGTCTTAAAGATTAGAAAATTTTTTGTTATTGTGTAAAATAAATAAAAAAACTTTCTGCCATAGACTCACACGTCTAAATGTCTAAAGAACTGAGCTGTCTAAAAAATTAAGAAAAATAAACCATTAAAAATCATTTATTATTAAAGTAATAACAATTAAAGATATAAAAAGTTGAAAATTTACCGAATTATCACATCCAAGGAGACTGAAAAAACCACCTAATAAGGTAAAAAAAGAATCATTAGAAGCTGTTTGTGAAAATAAAAAAAAAATAATAAAAGAATAAAAAAAATGAAAAAATATACCAATAATAGATAGTAAATGTTAGTATACTTTAGAAAGTTCACTTCCTATAAAATAATGAAATGTTAGTACATTTCTTCAAAGTAAACTTTAAAAGAATTGATCTCCACACATTTATCCTGTATCCCAAAAACTATAGGAAGCTGAAACCTACAAAATAAAAGAAAAAAATTAAAAAATAATTCATTTTTTTTTAAAAAACAATAAGTTTTGAAACAAAACTTACCTATTGAATGCTTGAGGACAGAAGCCAAAACCTACAAAATAGAAAAAAATAATTATTTTTTAAAAAAATATAAAGTTTCGAAGTGTGTTCAAAATAAACTTACCTATCCAAAGTCCAAGAACTGAAGCTGAAACCTACCAAATAAAAGAAAATAATTAATTAAATAAATAAAATTTTTTAAAAAAAAGACACAAAGCTTTTGCTTCAAAACTCACCTATCAAAGCCCAAGAACCGAAGTTAATATCTACAAAACAAAAAAAAAATCTATATAATTTTTTTAAAAAAAATTATTTTAAAAAAAAAGAATTTCAAAGTGTTTACTTCGAAATTCACCTATCAGAGCTCATGAATTGACGCTAATACCTACAAATAAACAAAAAAAAAGTTTATTAAAAAAAATATATATTAAATAAAAGTTTTGAAGCTTTCGCTTCGAAACTTACCCATTCAAAGTCTATGATCTGAAACCCAAGACTTACAAAATAAAAGAAAAAGAAATTAATTAAAAAAAAAACAAATATTTTTAAAAAAAAACCTCAAAGCTTTTAGCTTTGAAACTCACCCATCAAAAATCCATGAATCAAAACCCAAAACCTAAAAATAGAAGAAAGAAATTAAAAAAAAATTATTTTAAAAGTTTTGAAGTGAAAGCGAAACTTCAAAACTTACCTAACAAAGCCCAAAAATTGGAAAATGAAACCTATAAAATAAAAAAAAAACAAATTAATAAAATTAAAAAAAAAATTATTTTAAAAGTTTCGAAGCAAAAGCAAAGCTTCAAAACTCACCTAACAAAAACCAAGTATCAGAAGCCGAAACTTACAAAATAAAAAAAAATTAATAAAATTAAAAAAAAAAACTTTAAAAAAAGTTTTGAAGCGAAACAAAATTTACCTAATAAAGACCAAGTATCAGAAGCCAAAACCTACAAAAAAAAAGTTTCAAAGCGTTTTCTTCAAAACTCACCTGACAAAGCCCAAGAATCAGAAGTCAAAACTTACAAAATAAGAAAAAAAAATTTTTTTTAAGTTTCAAAAGCTTTCAAAATTTACCGAATTGAAGCCAATATCAAAATAGTAGAAAAAAATTAATAAAAAAAAATAATAGTTTCGAAATGAAACTTTGAAAAAAATTAAAATAAAAAAAACAAATTAATAAAACACAGGTCGAAAAGTGAAAAATCAGGCATCAATCAGTCACCAATCGGTCACCAATCAGTCACCAATTAGCTACCTGATTGGTGACCAATTGGTGTCTGATTTTTCACTTTTCGACCTGTGAAATTAAAAAAAAAAATTTTTTTAAAGTTTCGTTGTGAAACTTTAAAAGAGTTTTAAATAAAAAATAATAATTTAAAAAATTAAAATAAAAATAATTTTTTTATAGTTTTGCAATGAAACTTTAAAAAGAAAAAAATCTTTTTTTGAAGTTTCGTTGTAAAACTTAGAGTTTTAAATAAAAAATAATAATTTAAAAAATTAAAATAAAAATAATTTTTTTATAGTTTCACAACGAAACTTTGAAAAGAAAAAAAAAAGTTTCATTGTGAAAAAATTAATTTAAGTTATATATATGATGATCATTAAGAAATAATATTCGTAAAGATATCATATGTCAAAATTTTGGTTGAAACTTCACACAGCCAAACTTTGGCCAAAACTTAGCTGAAAGTCACATGACCAAAAGTTTTGATTTTGACTAGTGATTTGCACTATTTTGCAAAAAAAAAAAATTTATTTAATTTTCTTTAAAAATATTAATACAAAAAAAAATTCAATAAATTTTATAAAAGCAATAAATCTTTTATTAAACTATTAAAATTAATTTTAAAAATTTTTCTAATTATCACCAAAAATAATGATTTAATACTAATAATTGAAATTAGTATATTAATTTGCATTAAAAAAATATCCTTTTGATCAAATTTATAACATGGATGAAACTGGATTATTTTATCAGTACTTTTTTAGCATATTCTTATGATTTGAATAAATTGCATTTGATAATCATAATCTTCTTTTTTAAGTTAGAACTAGATCGAACATTAGTTACAAAGCGGCTTTCTGGATGAAAAAAAAATAAAGAATGGCTTTCAGTTGCTTTATGTACGAATTCTGATGGGTCAAATAAGCTGCCGTCTTTAGTAATTAGTAAATATGCAAATCTGCAGTGCTTTAAGAATATTAATATCGGCAATTTACCAATAACTTATAGGAATAATGCTAAAGCCTGGATGTTAACAACTCTTTTTCAAGAGTAGCTTCAGGAATTTAATTATCAAGTCAGTATAAAATACAATAATCAACGTGTTTTGCTACTTCTTGATAATTGTAAAAGCCATAAGATAAATAATTTAGTTCTTAAAAATGTTGAAGTTTGTTTTTTACCTCCTAATACAACTTTAAAACTTCAACCAATGGATTCTAGAATAATTATGTCCTTTAAAAAGCATTATCAATATCATCATATCAAGTAAGTAAGATTTTAATTTTATTATTTTACAACTTTTTAAATACATTTTTTTTTTTAAATTAAATGGTTACTAGAATAAGTTGAAGATGGACTTTGGACAGTTCATACAAGATCTGAAAATGAATGTTTTGCAAGCAATTTAATATATTATTCAAGAAGTTACAGCTAATACTATCAGAAATTACTGGAATTATATCAAAATTCTTTCTAATACTGATGATAAATGAATGATTGATGATGAACGAATGATTGATGATGAAGATGATGAACTAATGCCTGATAAACTAATACTTGATGACGAACTTAACAAGGCCATTAAAACTCTTTATTTACCAAATATGATGGAGATGAAAGAACTTTTAACTATTCCTGAAGAAAATATAGTTTATGAGATTCCTGATGACATTTCAGAATTTGCAGATATATTTAAAAATGGCCCTACAAATCATCCAAATGAAATAGATGATAGTGCTGATATAGAAATTATTTGCGTTAATAAAGCATTATAAGGTTTAAAAATTGTGAATTCATTTTTACTTTAACAGGAAAATGCACGCGAATGAACAAATTAAACTGGTAAGTAAAATTGAAAAATTTATTAAAAATAAACAAATCAATTCAATGCAACAAACTACTATAGATCAATATTTTAAATAGTTATTTGGTTTTTTATAATGATAATTATTATTTTATAATTTCTATAATTCTTAATAAATATTATAATATAATTAGTTTATATATAATCATGTGATTTCTATAAATACACACTCTCTCTAAATGCACATTTATGCCTAGTCCCAAGGGCATGCAATTATAGAGGGTTAACTGTAACTATCTAAATACAATATTAATTTCTTTCACTAAAAATCTTACTTTTACAATTACGTAAATCATAACTAAACCCTCACACCTCTTACATTTCCCTTGTTTCTTGTTATTTTCATTATTATTATTTTCTAGAATACATTGTAATTTCAAATCTATAGTCATTTTTTGTTTCTTCACTCAGATATCAATTTGAAGGATGTCCATATCTTCTTTAAGTTACTGGATTAGAACAAATAATATTAGATTCATCATTTCTTTGATGATTGTTACTATTTTCTTTATTAATAGTTTGATCCTTTTGGAGTAATTCTTGCTATTTTTCGTCTATAAACATTTGAAATTTCAATAAACATTTCATTTTGTACATTTCTAATCATAAGTTGGAGTAAAGTTTGTGGTCCTCATAATCATCTTCACGGAAATTCTTCTTATGATCATCATAATTTGTATTATAATAATGTGAAAAGCAAAAAAGTATTAGTGATATTTAACAAAGAAATCCATACAATAATTCATACCCTAATCCACACCTAAAGCTCTAAACGGTTCGGGCTAAACTGGGGAACTGATCTGAAACTAGCTCAAAATTCAGTTCGGTTCGGTTTGGGTATTAGAACAGGACCGGGAAAACTACTAATAAAGGTCACCGGTTTTCTTGGTTCGAACCCATATTTAATTTTCAAAAAGGTCACCATAAAAATAATTAATAAAAGTCACGTGTTGGTTCGCAAGAATAAGAAAATTTGAGTGAAGATCTTTCCTTTTTCTGTTTTTGGAGCGAAAACATGTGAATAAATAGCCAATTAACCAATCATAAGATGGTTCGCATATATATGATTTTCTGATTTTTTTCCGGTGACCTTTATATATAGTTTTCCCGATCCTATTAGAACTGAAAAACCGGCGGTTCAGTTCGGTTTAATCTGATTTTTTATAAAAATGTTAAAAATCGAATAGCCGGCCATCTAGTGATCGTACAAAGTCGAGCCATATACAGCGCGGAAAATCCATTATAATTTAACCAGTTTTTCTGGTAAATTTCTGATAAAACCGGTAAAATCTTATAATCCCGGAATTGTTCTGGTCGTGGCGTAGCAAATTTCTGGAATATTTTGTAAATACCGGAAATTTCATTTAATAAATTTATATCAGATATCGCAAAAAAGTTTTTTATCTTTAATTTTATTAATTATTATTTCAGTAGTTTATTACAATATGATTATTTAAAGCCAGTACGTCTTTTCTGGTTACTCCATATTGTATATGCACGAATAAAAAAAAGAAAAGATTATTATATATATCTAAAACCAGAATTTTTTTTAATTCCATAATTCCATACCGGTTGAAAAAATAAATTTCCGGAATTTTTATATTTAACCAGAATTTTTCTGAAATTTTTCTAAGGTTTTTTTCCGTGCTGGCTATATATCATTGGATTCCTCTCGATGAGACGCGTCGAATGGTGGTAAGATCATGTCTCTAGCATCGATAGATCACACGTTAATCTACGCTAAATGATTTATAAATAATTGGAATTAGCAAGCTATCTATCAGTGCTAGAGACATGATCTTAGCACCATTCGACGCGTCTCAGTGAGACAAATCCAATGAATATAAATTCGTTCGTGTACGACCACTGGATGGCGAATAATATCAAGCTTCGCATTTTTTTAAAATTTTTGAGCATTAAAAATTAAAAATTCTGATACATGAATTTATTTGTCATTCTCATTGAGACGAATCCAATGAGTCCTAATTCATATTTGTACGACCATTGGATGACGAATAAATTCATGTATTGGAATTTTTAATTTTTAACGCTCGAAAATTTTTAAAAATGCGAAACTTGATATTATTCGCCATCTAGTAGTCATACACGAACGAATTTATATTCATTGGATTCGTCTCAATGAGACGCGTCGAATGGTGCTAAAATCATGTCTCTAGCACTGATAGATAGCTTGCTAATTCCAATTATTGATAAATCATTTAGCGTGGATTAACGGGTGTTCTATCGATACTAGAGACATAATCTTACTACCATTCGATGCGTCTCGTCAAGACGAATCCAATGATATATGGCTTGACTTTATATGATCACTAGATGGCAGGCTATTTGATTTTTCGCATTTTTATAAAAATCGGATTAAACCAAACCGAACTGCCAGTTTTTCGGTTCAGTTCTTACGGATTTCAGCTCTAATCCGAACCGTCTATAATCCGGACCAAACTGACCCGTTCAGAGCTTTATCTACACCCTAATCCTTATCCTAATCTTTACCTTAATCCATACTCTAATTTACACTCTAATCCTTACCCTAATCCATACCCTAAATTTTTTGTTTAATTTTATGCTTATTTTGCTTTATTGTTAAACCTTTCATTCCATTTGGACTTAAGTAATACTCAACTCTTGTTTTTTTATAGGAAAATTCTTTTTGCAAAGCATATCATGCCAGATGACCTTCTAGTTCTTCCCATATCTGAAACTTTACACCTAAAACCAATATAATATGAAGTTCATTTTTCTCATCATTAGAAGTGGAATTTTCATTAACATATTCACAATAGTCCATTATTAAAATGTGTAATGAAAGAAAAGGAGGTAGGTTAATAAAAAAGAAAAAAAAATTAAAAAAGGCAATTCGTGAAAAAAAAAAGTTTATTAATAGTTTAATCAAATGATGTCATAATAATAATTCATATAATCAGGTAAAATCACCTGTGTGATGACTAGTTTTTTTTATATTTAAAATATTATTTTATTATAACATAATTTGATATAATAATTCAGGATAAACCAATTTTGACCTACAGTATAACAAACTTTTTTCATAAATCAAAACTATCTATACAGTGAAATTTGATAAATCAGATTTTTGATAAACCAGATTTGACCCTAAATTGAACTTTTTGCTGGAATCAAATTCAGTATATTAAAATAGTTTCAATATACCAAAGTTTACTAGTAAAAGTTTGATATTTGATATAAAGAATCAATTTTCCAACTAACTATAGTAAAAATGATTTGATAAACTGGATCACATGATCATTAATCAATAAAATTTAAGTAATGTGATGCGGTAAATCTTAATTTTGGCCAGAATTATAAAAATCTTAATTCTGGCTGAAATTATATATTACTTATATATTCAATTAAAAATAGTTTATATTCATTTTTAACTTAAAACTAAAATGAAAAATTAAAATGATATAGTGTATGTTAATTTTATTAGCATGAATTCTCTAAAAAAATTCAGTATAATAGATTTCCAATGTATCAAAATTTTTTCTCTATACCAGATATTCTGATAAACTGAATATTTTTAGTGGATTCAGTTTATCAAATTTTACTGTATATAATCAATTATATCACTATTAGGGATGGCAACGGTCAGTCACGGTTGGTTATCGGTCGGTCATAACCGGTTATAGATTTTTGACCGACTGACTATTTTTGCTGACTGTTTTTCTGATCGTTTAACTGACCATTTGACTGACCATTTAACCGACCATTTAACCATTTTTTTTTAGTGAATTTAATTAAGAAAAAATATTAAAAAGTTTTTTTTTGATTAAATCTGCTAACAAAAACATTATACAACTTTTTTTTATTGATTCAGCTCATAAAAAAAGTGTTAAATTAATAGGGTTGGTTAAATGGTCGGTTAACAATCAGTTAAACGGTTAGTTAAATGGTCGGTCAAACGATTGGTCAAAACTAGTCAGTTAAACGGTCGGTCAGAGCCTTTGACTGACCGATATCGGTTATAGTTATTAACCGGTTATGACCGGTTATGACCGTAATCATTGCCATCCCTAATCACTATATATCAACTTTGTTATAAATTTTACAATATTACATATAATAAAGTTAATCATAAAACCAGTCATACTTATTTATACTAATTCTTAAAGCTGCCACCTAAAATTAGGTGAAACTGAAATGGTAAAATTATTCCAAAATTCTGATTGGCTGTTATAATATCATGTGACCAAAATTAAAATTTTTACCAAAATTATAACTGTATTCTAATACCATAATTTTGGCTCTGTGGTGATCTTTCTGATACGTGTAGCTTCGATTTAAGCCTATGTTTGCTTTGTGTAATATATATACTATATAAGGAAATTATGCATCTTTATGTACTAATATTACACAAAGTAAACATATGCTTAAAATGAAATTACACATGGCTATGGAGCCAGAATTATGAAATTAGAATACAGATAAAATTTTAGCAAATTTATAAAGTCATGTGATTTTGTAATAGGCCAATCAGAAGTTTTGGACAATTTCAGGAGTTTTGGAAAGATTTTGGGATTTTGGAAGAATTTTGGGATTTCAGAATTAGTTTTGAAAATAAAATTCTGGCTGAAATTATTTTGGAATTAGGAAATAATTTCAGGTGGCAGCTTTACTAATTCCGGTCAGAATTAACTTAGTTTCAGCCGGCATTATTCAATGCAACAGACCACTGATTCTCAATTTCAGTACATCTATTTACAAGTAGGGATGCCAAAAGTTCGGTTATAACCGATTATAACCGGTTTTTATCGGTTCGGTTACAGTTCAGTTTCAGTCCAAGACCGATCGGTTAACCGTCGGTTTTATATATAAAAAAACTGACAAAAAAACTGATCAGTTAATCATATATTCCAAAAGAAAAGAATGTTTATTATATTGAGAATACTATTAAAAATTATGATTTTGGTGTTTATTTATATATATAGTATTCTTATTTTTGAAATAATAAGAAAATTTTTTATGAGTCGATCACATGATTTTTCGTTCTGCTGAAAAAAATCGCAAAATTGACATTATTATCGTAAAAAAAATTATAATTTTAAGGAATATTATCAAATAAAATTATAATTAACACTTTCTAACATTAGTTCATTCAATTTTGCAGTAATTTTGCGATCGGTTTTGCAATTCGGTTTTATCGGTCGGTTTTGCGGTCAGTTCAGTTTCAGCTGAAACCTGCAGTTTTAAAACCGAAACTGAACTGAACCGACCGTTGGCATCCCTATTTACAAGATTTTATATGATAACAACATAGCATGCTTTCTATATATTATCACTTTGCCGATCATTTTACCAATCACTTTCATTTTCCATTAAAAAAAATAATTTTAATGAAATGTTATATAAAAATAAAATTGCAAAATCTGTTAGGTATTATAATTCTGAATTATATAATTGTTTGACACAAGTGTACGCATTTTTATTAGCTAGATCTTGTGATATTACACAAAACTTAAATTCATGATATCTTTACTATCTTAATTAATAAATAGCGCTACAAAAAATTTAATAAGAGAAATGACATGACCACTGACTGCTAATGTTTATTTTTCTTTTACTTTAGAAGAAATTCTTCAGTAAAGTTGGCAGAAAAAACTTAGAAATAGTTTTTTGTTAGAATCGAACCAACTGGAGTAATTTATGTAATTAATTTTATGTAATGCATGCATATATTATTTTATTAATAAATAATAAATACTGCTAATTGTCACGTTCACGTGACTGCCGCCTGAAATATGGCACTATATGACACGTAGATTAGCAACGCGAAGGACTTATAGTTTCAGCAAAGTTTTAGCATTTATAGGTTTTATCAAGTTTCACTTTCCTTCAGAATTTTATCAACTTTTTAATAAACTTTAATATAGTTTTACCAGTAAAATTAAAATTAAAAATCACTGTCAAAATATTACGTCATGAGCAAAAAATCAATTATAATTATCATTAATAAAACATATTTAGAAATTGTACAATTTGGTGATAGAGAATTTGAAAAAAAATTTTAGTACTAATATAGGTTAATCTAAACGTTACTGTTACATACAAGTTTTTTAGATTGCATCGATTGTTGAATTTCAACAGGAAAAAACGTGTTAAAGGGAATTACATATAACCGGTTTTTAATATAACAACAGCCACATTTAAATGAGCAGATGTTTATCTGTATATATATGGTAAATTTTAAATTAAATTTTTAATTTTTTTGGTACTACGACCGAAATATCGTGTATAAGAAACAATTTTTAATTTTTTTGACGTCCTTTGAGAAAAGTAATTCCGTCAATTGGCGTAAGTCTGATTAATAAGTATAGTGCAACATAAAAAAACTTTATTTTTTTTATATCTTGCACGAATCTAAACGTGTCACTCGCGTTATATTCTATTCTGTACAATCATAAAGTATGATTTTTTATGTTACAATAAAACAATAAAATAATGGCGGGTTTTCTTTTGTACAATAATACTATATCCTTACAAAGCAACACTGTCAATAACCGGTTACTCTACCCTTTTTGTAATTCATTCTCTGAATTCTGCTAAATAAAAAATCTAATCTGTGCTATATGTAGAAGAATACTTTTAAATTAACCTAATAACCAATCAGATTTAAATTCTCGCCATATTTTTTAACACACAGTCTTATGATAGAATATGTGATAAAAGGGTTTGATGTGATATAATATTACAAAAATTTTAGGATTTCTCATGTAATCGTAACCAAAAGTTGATAGTTACAGAAATTAACAACATTATGCAAATGAATGTGGGACCGTATCTATCCTCATACGGCCCAGATTCTCTTTTTCTAATCTTTTTAACACGCCAAAGATAAGTCCCAAGGGCGTATAACATGACCATCATTGTGACAAAAACCAAAAAAGAAGCTGCGGTAACGGTAATTTTATCACCAAAATTCAATAATCCAATTGCAAAGCCGCCCAGGACCACACTGAAATTGAGCCAAGACAAGAAAGTCCTTTCATTGGCAAAAAATACTTTAGGTTCAACACGCACAGGAATGGCAATTTTTTTCCCATGGTAAGTTTTAGGAACCTTCCCAGCAGGTGTAACTGTCGCTAAATATTCTTCTAGTTCTTCAAGTGAAGAAATATGCGGTGTACTTCGTAGTTGGGTATTTGTATTTTGGCTTGATTCACTTAGTAATGGTGTATTTTCAGATGCATCTTCCTCATCTTCGTCATCTTCTAGACTATCAACTAGAACTTCGATATCCTCAGTTCCAGAAAACGGATTACCCCTTTCATTGGCTGGTGTAGTTGGATTACTTGCAGAAGGACGTTCAAGTCTAAAATTACTTGGAGGTTTGCGAATATCAATATCCATTTGTGGAAGCCAGAAAGGAAAAAGTGGGATTTGACGGCTATCCATAAGTGTTGCGACACCATGAATAAATTTTGAGAATTTTGGAACAGCTTCAACCTGAAGTATGATTAATTTTATTAGAATTCCTAATGCGCGAGTAAAGTGACTATTAAATTATCAACGTACCAAATGACTTTGCACTAATTCTTGAACCCATTCGGGTGGCTCTTGGCCGTACTGAGTCTGTAACTTAACTTCCAGAATTGCATAAGGGAATCTTTCAATCTCTCCATCAGGTAACTTTGAAAATGGATAATCTATCCCAATATCCATTCGACGCCAGTTATTACCGGATCGAAGTCTCGGATTATTTTCGAAATTATCTTCACGTATCATACTTAGCTCCGTATCAAGTGAAATACGAACACGAGCATCACCAGGTAATTGAAAAGCAGTACGGTTATAAAAACTTCGAACGACTAAATTTATGTTATACGAGAATTAATTCTGCACCATTACGTGTAAGATTCCTATAGAAAGTGTACGCACCTGGTCTTAATTTTTTGGTAAGGACACGATATTGCACTTCAGAAGCTAATTGTTCAAGACTTTCAATTTCTTTATCACCCTTTCCTTTTTGTTTCAATTTTTCAAATGTCTTTTTATATTCTCCACGTAGATACTTGTTCACATCTTTTTCCTTAATGCCGAAACGCGCCTTCACAGATTTTTCGCCGGTCCAATCCTCTCGGTGTGTTTTACGTTCAACGAAGATTTCGTTGTTGTCCATCCCTCCATACCATCTTAATCGAATGGCTTCAGCCCCCTCGGACTTTTCCAATCGGCCAAGATAAAGATCGAAACTATCATTATCAAAATAAATTGAAGTGATAGCGGAATCAGCTGGTTCAAATTCCTTATTAGGATTAAATACTAATACCGGAAGGTGTTTAAGAATAAGAAGTTTTAACTCTGTAATGTTATCCGGATGAACCCAATATTTTGTGGTATTACGAACAAAATTTTGTTGTTGGCCACCGGCAGCGGCGTTACCCTTAACCGGATTCCCACGAGTACGAACAATATCATAATTACGTGATAATTTTACGATTAACGCGTCATAATTTTCTTTATAAAATGGTTTTGCATTCAACCGTGCCATAAACATGGGCTTTAAAACCCATCTAGTTTGTTTATCATGTTTCTTAATAATCTTTAAGAAACCCGTATAATTCAAACGGGTAAACTTGGCAAGGTCATGAACGTCAGCGATTATCATGGATAATTCTTCTTCAATCGCAAGAAAATCATCCTCGTTTGCAGAATTTGCTTCCATTATGTCATGAATTTCCTTCTCACAATTTTGAATTCTCCTATTTATCTCCCCAGACTTAACGTCTTGGAAAGTAAATACTTTTTCGAGTTCTTTCTCGAGTAATTCAAAGAAAATGGTTTCGTCTTCTTCACTCCATTGATTACCACGAGTTCGAGTTTTTAGCTCTCGTTTTAGCTCATCGTAGCTTAAATAGTAGAAAGTCCATTCAGGATAAAGAGAAGTTTTTAGGTGATGACCAAATTTCATAATATACTAAATAAATATTATACGGACAAGTAAAAAAAGTCAGCAATTATAAAAAAGCACTGCAAGTTTAGGTAAAAATTGTGTTTAAATAGTTTATTACGTATTTTCAACTGTATACTCTCCATACAAGAATGGTAATATATTTGTTTACGCCGAAGAAACGCCACACAAACAAACCTTATATGTTGAAGGAAGTTTGAAAAGGACGCCTATTATGCCTATTATGCCGGATATTTTAAACAACAAACATTATCAATAAAAATATGATTATCATTGATGAGAACTATTTAAATATAGAATAGCTTAGTTAAGTAACTTTTCTCCGACATATTAAAAACTAATAATTTTCATTAATACAAATTGGAGATGAAACTAGCTAACTTCTTTCAAAGAACCTTAAAATTCACAAGAAAAGAAATAACGAAAAGTAATGCAGTGAAACTTCACAAAAGAATCAGATTGGATCTCGCAACAATTTACAAATGCAAATGCAACAATTTAAAATCGAATAAGGATCTGCAACAATCTTGCAAATTATTATTTTTAAATAATCCGTAGCAAAAGGGCGTTTTTTTTTCATGTATAATCATGTGAAAATTGTAATTGCATTTCGCGATTGATTCATTTTTTACTTCAAAAGAAATGTTGTCAATTGGTTAAAGGTTTGCCCAAAATTTAAAATCTCGGCCAAATCTAGTAGTATCTTAGATAAATGTTCGGAAAAATATAATTGATCTACATATAAGACATTATGAATATTATATATTTTGCTTATCTTGGAAACAAGATTCAGACGCAAAATGTACTAGAGCAAATAAATACGTCAATCAAATGTGTAAAAAATCTTTGGGATGTAAAGAAAACCGATATCAAATATAAATAATTTTATCAGTCTTTTCTGAAGAATCCTATCTCTATAGAAAGTATTTTAAGTACAGGGTTTACTAAAAATATTATTATTTTAAAATATTTCCAAATCACGGCTAAATCTAAATTCAAAACTTTGTTCAAATTCTGGCCGAAGCTAAAAAATTAAACTAAAAATTAATAAAATATACGATTTTTTACACTTCAAATTTGTTTTATTTTTTATATAATATAATTCCAAAAGTTTTTTGCTAATTATTTTTTTAAAAAAGGAAAGTTTATATTAATTTGAGATAGGACTTTACAAGTTTTATAATTAGTTTTTCCTTTTTTTTTTGCAAAATTGTAGAAGTTTAAATCATTCTCTATCTAATAATTAATTAAGAATAACTAATAACTCAAAATAAAAATTCAAATTTTTTTATTAATGGTACCGTATTCTCTTAAAATGTAGAGCACATGTATATAATTAAAGTTCACGCGATTTGATGAAAAATCAATCCACTTTGTTTATACCACAATAAAGGGTAAAGGGAACATGTTTATGTTTAGCAAATTCCACCCAACTATTATTTTATTGATATCTAATTTTTGATACGTCTATTACACGCCTCCCTTAACTCACTCATGCTCATGATGCAACAATTTTCATATAATATGTAGTCAGATTTAGCTCGGTGGTATTCGCAATATATAAGAACTGAATGGTTTAATAACCTCAAGTTTACGGGCTTTTGCTATTTTAAGATCTTGAATAACTCTCAATGACTTGATCAATTCATCTCTAAGAAGAAACATGGCTCTGAGTAGTTCGTACAAATAACATAAATCAGATATTCTTGTCGGTAAAGGGAACTGAGACAACTTTCTTATACAATAAATCCCGCGACCAAATATATATAGTTCAGAGATGATACAATTGTATCCTATAAAAAGTATAAATTATAGTAAATTTCAAATTATGAAAATCATATTGTTGAAACAAAATTACATTAATTGCATAACGAAGGTAAAATATTACCTTTTGTTTGTAGCCCAAATACTTTAAGTTTTTTAGCCAATTCAAATTCACATACATTATAGTCATAAAATAGATTATTAAGTACGTCTACCAAACAACGATCTAGTTTACACTTGTCCCCTTCCGGATGCCTGCCTAGTCGGAAGTCGAGTTGGTGCTCCGGATAATTCAATTATCACAAGTTCTTTATTGTCGGCATCTACAAGTGAACCAATACCATCTGCTTTGATCCAGTTCCCTTCGCAAGTCGGTGGTTTCGACGATTAGCCGATGATAAACTCGTGATTTCACCCCTACAGTACGATATTTTGTTGTTATGTAACAAACAGCCAATAATACAAAAGATCCGTCAAAAAAGGGTGCTTACTTACCAAGTCATATCTATTAAGTCTTTGAAAATGAAAATGAACGGCTCTATAATTGGTTCAATAAACCTTACACGAAATGTAGCCTCGGTTTGTGGTCGTTTAGCAAAGTATTCCGGCCGGTTTTCAAGACAAAAAATACTGTTATATTGATATTATATAGTCAATGATAAGTTCGGTTCTTAATAATCTCATACCAACAGTACTTACTAATGATCGATGATTCTACGAGCATACTTATCTTCATCAGTGGTTACTTCTTCATAGGAATCAAATGATTCCCTTATTTTTTTAATCTCGGGATTTTTCAAATAATTGTTAAGTCTACTGAAGAAGGTAGGTCCACTGATGGCTTTGATATAGAAATAATTACGGACCATTCCTTAGCAAAACAGAATGGAGGTCTGCGTTGCTCCGTTACATTGTCCAGGTCAATTATATGAGCGTAATATTCTCTGCCCAACAGAAAAATGGAATAAATATGAAATGAAGTCGATTGGAGAATTACAAAAAACCACCAATACTCACTCTTCAAGTTCACTTTCATCACTTTCGGATTTCACATCATCCTCCTTTTGAGAATAATCTACTTCATCTTCGGACTCATCATCATCTTCTTCTTTGGACTCATCATCTCCGGACTTATGAATTGAATCATTATTTCTGTTTTGGACCTGGCGCAAAATAGAATTATTTAAGTGAAGGTCTTCTCAGAAAAGGCGACATGCATATGATTAATCCACTCCGACAATACAGTATAAATTATTGATCAAAGAAATGTTACCAACTCAGTAAATCCTTCAAAGTGCATGAAAAATAAATCTTTGCCGATATTCTCTCTCTTCCGCTGGTCATCAACATTTTGCCAAAAATTGACAACTATTTGGGATCGGCATTCTTTCTATTGAGTCTATTGAGTGAAAAGGTGGAAGTTGAAGGCAATCAAAAAAATATCACAAAATCACAAAGTTGAGCAAGAAACGCAAGGGACTCGATCGGCTGTGGTACCAAAGCAGTGGATGGTCCAACAGAGGATAGAATCCCAGAAATGTAAGTATTATACCACGAGGCGAAAGCAGTGGATCTTTCCCTGAATTCAAAGCAGTGGATGAACGCAGAGGAAGCACACCAGCTTCTGCTCAATCTTATACAAAGAATTCAAAAAAAGCGAAATCATCACCTTAAATTTTTGACTGCTTCAACTGCAAGTTTCCGAATCTGAACAGATTCGTGTTTTTTTGAATTATTGTAAAGGCTTCTATCCAATCTCTATGCGTCATTTTTTTGTCAAAGGTCTTGCGTTTATTTTTAAGTATTCCAGATGATGATTTGTTACGTTAGGTTTTTCCAATATTTTTATGAAATGTTTCCAGGACGATGATTTTTTGCGCTTAGACATTGTACAAAAAAAAATTTTCATAACGATAACGATGTCTGATTTATTACATCTTATCACACCACCTTCGGTTGCACGGCACGTGTGTCTCACCAAATATGGTGGCCCGAATATTATATTATATCCGGGATATCCGGGAAAAGAGGTCGTCTAAAGCGGCAAATCACGTGACATTATCGCGATATTTATTTTTATTTATTTTATGTGAAGCCGGACAGACTATTAAACAGGACATATACCACACGTGAGTTATCCTACTTCTAGCTATCATCCATCACCAGGACGGACCCGAACTTCTTTAAAAACGTTGGAACCAGCCTGATCTCCCTCCACTACCGAAAGAAGAACAGGAAGTGACATTATCGCGATTAACCAGCTTCCCCAGTATCACCGTCACTTTTTCCACCCCACGTGATTTTGTAAAATTCATCACCGGCATCACACCCCACCGCGTTTTCATTGTTTATATTTATCTGAGGGACTTAGATTTTTTTGCTTCACAAAATTATTTTTTTCACATCCCTTTAAATGTCACCGGTCATGTGGAGGTGGATAAAAGTGTCGGTGATACTGGGGTAAATGCGATTAACCAGAAGGGTCACGTGATTTTTCGTTAAAATACCAAATGATAGCTGGCTAAAAAAATGTGTTTCAGTAAAGTAAAATTTCTTAAAAATATCAATAAATTAATAAAAAAATTAAAAATTTTTAAAAGAATTAATTAAAATAAAAAAGTCCCACACTATTTATTGATTTTATTGTTTTATTTGAATTTAAAATGTAATTTTTCTTATAAAAAATTTGTAAAAATTTCTAATAAAAATTCGTAAAAAAAAATTCATAGTTTTATCTACATAAAAAAAAATTCATAAAGCTTTTATCTACATAAAAAAAAATTCGTAATAATTTAAGAAACCAAGTCCGCACAATAATCAGAACCCAATACAACCTTGTACATTTATTAGTATCAAAATACTAATAAGTAATTCTAATTTCTAAGTTTTTCCGCTTAAATTATTATTAAATTGCAAAATAATCAGATTCACAGAGCTTCTAACATAGAAATAAAAGATTGCATCTTCTTAACATCACCCATCTCTTCAACACGCCAATACCTATTACGCATTCTTTCAGTTAATTCTCCTACAGCAATTCTTTGATTCTCGGCGTTTTTCTGTTGCTCTGTCTAAACATATTCTATAAATGATTCTTGACTTTCATACACTTCAAACCCGCTTTCTTCAAAATTTTGCGAAACATTTGCCATACGTCAGTAGTTAATAATTTATTGCCGTATATATATTTGTGAAAAATATGCTTGCAAAATCAATGGCGAAATAAGCAGAAACAATCGAGAGAAGTAAGACCTAGTGTACTTTTTCCTTTTTTAAGTCTATTCATTACAACACAGGCTTCTCTAATGATTAATTGTTGAAATGGGAATGGGAACTTTTGGATTTTTTCAAGAATATCAATATCAACACCATACGCGGATATTTTCTTGATACAAAAATCAAAAGATGCACTTTTGGCTTCAGATCTTTTTTTGCAATCAACATTGATAACTTTGTGAACGGCATCTAAAATATAAAAGTTTTGAGTTGGGCATATGGGCAAAATAGCCAAATAAAAATCATCATGTACTGATCAATTTATATGATAAAGATGTCGTTTTCTTTAATTCACTATGAAAAGATTTTAGCGAATTCGTTGAAGTGACTTGTAAAAAAGCAGAGAAGAATGTTGCCGAGCTCATAAGCCCATTTCTCAGTATTTTTCGTATAGTTCCTTTTAATATAATTTTGTATAGAAGAAACAGGATAAGAATTAATAGCATCTTGAACAAGGCTTTCGCATTCAATCTTTGTTTTTTTATGCATCACCGTGATCATGATGTCTCAGGTTTTTTTTTCATGAATTTTTTGCATCCATGTTCTCATAACATGGATAATGCAAAGGAGAACTTAGCACTCTTGTTCACCAGCAGCTATGCTAGGAAATGTCTTTTAATGCTCTTGGCTTCGATATTACTATGATCTAAAAGTATGTAACAGGGACTAATGACAATACTTATTGCAGATTATTATTAAAGCTTCAACAATTGTATCTGCATTCTCACTGCTTATGAAAAAATGGGTGCCTATGCTCCAACATCTATAGATATCCTGGACGTAAAGAGTAAATAGATGCCAATCGTATCTAACTCCAATATTGCGTATTTCTTGACAGCAGATGTGATTGTTGGAGCTGAATAATTTTTAGCCGCTTCTATTTCAACTAAACTTCTAATAGCTTTTGGCCATTTTAACCTATCAATTTCTGATAAAGAATGAGTGTGGTTAGAGGAATTTTTATGTCTTTCTACTTGAACTACATTTGAAGAAGCTATCCAAAAAACTTTAATTATCACAGAATATATATTAGATGACCGTATCCTGGTTATTCAGCATTTTTCATTCAGAACATTTTCTTTTTGTTGGGTACTTAACTTGCGGTGCTTCATAAAATAACAGGCGAAGGTTTTCCAAATATCACCATTTACATATTTATACGAATCCTATTTTGTCCAAATATTTGAAACTGATGGCCACCAATCTTCGTTAAAAACCTCTATTGGAATTTCTAAAGCGCGGTCTACATCAAAAAGAAGATCCCACTTTTTGTCTGGTGTAAGGTTTAATGCTGATATTATTATTAGAGGAGAAGAAGCTGAGACGGACATGGCTAGTGAAAAAATTTGAAAAATGTTTTTTTTTGAAAAAAAAATAAATAAATAAATGCATGATGTTGTAATGGTAACATGAATTAAACTGACATTTCCAACTAATTTCAAAATCATATTACGTGATTTGCCCTGCTTTAAATGACTTCCGGAAAAAGGACTTTGTAACCTCCTCCCTAATCCCCCTTAGGAAATTACATCATTTCTGGTCTCTTATGGTGGCTGTCACAATAATTGTCCAGAGCGAAGCGAAGGACAATATATGTCTATACACTTGGGAAAAAAATAAATCACGTGAATTTCTTTGTCTACCACATGATCGTTACCTAATGAAATCGCAACTCGCAAGTTTTAGTTTTTCGCTTTAAACTTACAATGGTTCCATTAGGACCCCAGAAAATACTTATATAGGTAAAGTCCCAAAATATTTTTATTAGTAACTTTAAGCATAGGTTTTTACTATGATCGCTAAGCATTGTTGATATCTAACCTTAAAAATTATATAAAAATAAGCAAATCAATCTTCTAACCTAATTAAATTTTTATTATAACACATATAATTTATAAAATATATTTATTAATTAATATATTTTATTAAATCCAATTTTAAATATGTTGTGAAGCTAAACTAAACATAATATACAAGTAGATTAACAATATTTAATTAATAAAGTTAATAAACAGTAAAAAAAAAATTTGAAATTAATACTATTACAAAAAATGTAAATTTCTCTATAAGTATTATACCTACACCCATAAAAATTAATATCTAGGTAGTTTTGACCTTGCTAAACAATTTTCAATTAATTTAGAAAGTTGATTTCATTTAACCAAAAAGGTGTAATTACGCTTTGAAGTTGTAACGGAGAAATAAAAAATTCAGAAGTTAGTACCGTTATGAAAAATGCACTTTTTTCCATAAGTATTATACTCACACTCATGAAAATTAATATATAAGTATTTTGACCTGGCTGAACAACTTTCAATTAATTTAGAAAGTCAATTTTATTTGACTAAAGTGGTGTAATTACACTCTGAAGTTATAAACGGAAAAGTGAAAAATTTAAAAGTTATTACCATTAAAAAAAATATGCTTTTCTATATAAATATCATACTTAGCCTTATGAAAATTAAAATACAAGTAGATTTAACTTGCTGAACAAACTTACTTAAACATAAAAGATAATTTGA